TTTCTTCCTTCCTTCCTTCCTTCCTTTCTTCCTTTTCTTCCTTCCTTTCTTCCTTTCTTTCTTTTTGCCCCTAGAACTCTCAAATCCCAATACCTTTTTTCAACGAATTATTTTTTCAACACATCACAATCATACGCAGTGTCCAATATTCAAATTGAATGTAATTATAATTTAATAGTGGGCGCGCCATCTTAATAGGCCCAGGATACAATCATCGGCTGCGCTTATTAAATTTGGTTTCCCAAAGCTATTACCAAACGCGGTAAATCTCCTTAAATCTTTTTTTTCGTATTATCTGGTACCCGGCAGCACAAAAGTAACAAAATGTTTGCAGCGATTGTTTCAGTCTGTAGCAAACGCGCGGTAGCTGTTGCTTTAAAGACCGCATAAAACCGGCAAGTCACGGCACAGCACAGCAGTCTACGAGTTACCGCTGAATAAAGCGAAGAATCTCGAAACGTTCAGCCGTGCTAGCAATGGGATATCAGCCACAGTGTGAACAGCCGAAGTGAAAGATTAATAAATGGTTTTTAAATGGCCAGATGACCTTGGAGGTCCGTGCGTCGTGTTTGAACAGTGTTGTCTGACCGAGCTAGCGACGCCAAAAAATTCGAACAATTTGATAGAGTGCGTACAATATATCCGTGAAAACGTTAACTAACAAAATCTTTGATCAAATTAGGGCAAAGTATTGTAGTTATACGGTCTACTGAGCTTACTAAGTTGTTCAAATTTGTGCAATTTCTTTAAAAACATTTCACGGATATATGGTCTGCACTCTAGTGGATCAAAGYCTTGGTAAGCTTAACCCGATGATTATATGGCTATCATCTGAAGAATCTGATAAGCGCGAAAGTTCATGCATGTAAAAATTGTAAAACTATTGCATATGTCATGCATAAAGCAAAATTTTTGGCCACGTGAGCCAGTAGAGATATAGCGAGTCATACGCGAAAATATTGAATACTGTCCTGGGCCCGGTTGTACGAAGGGTGGATAGTGATGTCCGATGGATAAATCCTTATCCAGTGGATAAGTCGATGCTGTTATCCAATAAATTTATCCAGTGGATAAGGGTTTATCCATCGGATAGTGCTATCCACCCTTCGTACAACTGAGCTGGGTCCATGTCTCATAAAAACACTCGGACCAAAGGAGAGAATCAATGGTGGCATATCGGTAGCGCCTCTCATGATCACCTCTGGACTGATGGACTCGGCATCAAATGTGAGTAGAGTTTGTTAGGTCTCTCCCTCGATTCAAGGTTTTTCGCTGGGTTTTGCAGTTTTGACTAGTTTTCCTCCCTCCTTTACAAAACCAAGTTAAACGCGCTGAATTGCTATTTCATCTGTGAGTTTGGCGCGTACCCCTCTGAGTACCATCATGTCAGCTATAAGGTTGTTTTGAAGCTTGATAAAAATAATTGGTTTGCGACCCGCGCGTTTAAGCAGATGACGAACAGTGATAACATTCCACCTCAAAACCAGCCGCGCTTCATTCATCCTAAGCATACCAGACATTATCGAATAACCTTAAAGCCATGCGTCCCGTCATTAACCGTTACTGAATGCGCAAAATGTGGGGTCACCTCTTTTGAGGTTATTGCGGTCTGTCATGCATAAAAAATACCCATTATGTAACCAGTGCTAAGGGACCAGTCATTATTTAAGT